ACGCCCACCAAGCCACACCCACCAAACCGGTAGTAAAAAAAAAAAAATTGAATCCCACCACTGATCAGAAGAGTCCTGACCTATTTGAGATTTGGGGTTGGAGAAGAAGACTCCTGAGGGCAGGGGTGGGTGGCTACCGGTTCGCACTGGTTTGGGTGAGCCGGATGTTAATTTTACATCTGGTTCAGCAAACCGGTAGTTGCAATGACTGCCTGGCCCCGCCCACCCTGCCCCACCCCTTCCCTCCCGGGAGTCTCCGCGTGGCCCATTTTGGATCCCAGGTAAGTGCAGGGCCCGCAGGGAGGCTCACGGAAGGTGAAAAAATGGCCTCCTGGAGGCTCCGGAAGGAGGCCATTTCCCCCCGCCCAGAGGCTCAAGGAAAGCCTCCAGAGCCCGGGGAGGATGAAAATGCCCCCCTTGCCATGGTCCAGGAGGTCGAATAGACCACGCCCACCCAGCAACAGGGCAGAGAACCGGTTGCTAATTTTTTTTTTTAACAAAGTTTTTATTTTTTTACAACAAACATACGAACAAAACATAAAAACATAAAACCCTCTTTCAATTATATACATACAGTGTGTCAGTTGGTTACAATCTTTTGGGCTATCCTTTTTTTACCATTACTCAGAAGTTATATATATTCTCGCCTTATCGGTCTAGCTCAGGGGTGGGCAAACTACGGCCCGTGGGCCACATCCGGCCCGTTGGTCTTTTTAATCCGGCCCGCCGAAGATTGGTACAGAATTAAGGTTTGATGTGAATGATTGAATGATTGCATTCATTTGATTTTGACTTGTAATGACAGGCATTTCGACACCAGGTGGCGGCCCGTCTGTCAAATTTTAAAAGTCAATGTGGCCCCCGAGCCAAAAAGTTTGCCCACCCCTGGTCTAGCTTGTGCTTATATAATATCAATTATTAAACATTCATTTGACTATTTTTCCATCATTTTATACGAGATATTCTAATTTTCTTTATGATTTAATCTTATACATTCATCCAATGGTTGTATATTTTATATTGTATTCTATATCAATCTATTAACTTTTATTGTAAGGCTTACTAATCTATTTCTTTACCATGTCTTTTTATCTAACCATTGATAAAATAAATCCCACATCATATAAAATTGTCGGTTGCTAAATTTTCTGAAGCCCACCCCTGCCTGAGTGTGCCATGGATAGCCATCTTAGGAAGACCCCTCCTTAGTTCTCAGAAAGATAAAGGGTAGAAATGGGGGAGGGAAAGCATTTTCAGACTTGCAAGATTCTATCACTCAAACCTGATAATAACAGCAATATTAGCCTTTGTAAGTTTGGTTTCCAAGTCTGGTCTACTTACAGGGCTGACATCGATTCCGCCAGCCTAAACACACTTTCTCCCTCCCTCCCTTTATCTTTGCAAAAACTTGGGAGGGTCCTAACCGAGACTCAAATTACAGCTCTGTCCTGGACTCAAATTTCTTTTATCTGATTGTTGTCTTGGTGATGGTTCATCCTCCTGTTCCTTCTTCCCACTGCGATAAATGACTCGTGTTCAAACAACAAACTTGGTCAGGTTAGTTCAAGACCTAGCATCTGTATGCCCAGTGTGCATTAAGCCCAGGGGTGGGCTGCTGGGGGCTGGCAGGGGGTCAGGAGAACCCCTAGCTAAGATTCTGTGCAGTTGGGAGAATCCTCAAATCCCACCCCTGGCTGACCCCGCCCACCCCAGATCCCCATACGGCCCATTTGGGATGCAGGTAAGTGCAAGGCCCACACAGAGGCTCAGGGAGGGCTAAAAACAGGCCTCCCGGAAGTTTGGGAAGGCCGGAAATAGGCCCGCTTCCAGCTTCCGGAGAGCCTCCGGAGCCCGGAGAGGCTGTTTTCACCCTGCCGGAGGCTTGAAGGAAGCCTCTGGAGGCAGGGAGGGCAAAAACGCCCCACCCCCGCCATAGTGCAGGAGGCCAACTAGGCCACGCCCACCATGGCCACGCCCACCCTGCACAGAACCCGTTGCTAAATTTCTTTGAAGCCCACCTCTGATTAAGTTTGACTTGTGCTCAGGCCTGTTGGATTTGAGTGCTAAGCTATTAGTATGAATGACAAATCTATGCAGGGAGAGGCTGGAGAGGAAATTCCAGGCCTCCAATCCAGCCTGCAAGCCAACTTTGCAGGAAAACAGATGTTTCCTGTCTGCTTATTTTGATCAACTCACTAACCTCAAAATGCTTTGGGGGCATTAAGTCCCAATATAAACCGCTAGGTATGAGAGAGGGAGAAAGAAATATATATTTTCCACCAATATGCCAGCTGTGAAATTCACCTCACAGTTCCTTCCTGATTCAAGGAATTCGCTCATTCCTTGAAGGTGTACCTGCTCAACCACAGGGGGAGGGAAAAACCCACCTCCTGAGATAGTCCTAAAACTATGTACTGTATTCTGATTTCATTTGGTTGAAAAATAGCCTGTGCTGGAAGAAATCAACTGGAATTTGCCTGTGTGTGAGAGAGACAGCTATAGTAAATGAATAAGACACATAGTATGTTATGCCAAGGTTTGCTTACCTGTGATTTAGTAAATACATTCTTCAACACCAGCAACATCTGGTGTTCTAAAGATTACTGAATTATAATATCTGACATCTTCAGCATTGGCTATTCAAGGAGAGATGGTGTTGGATTCATAGTTCTTTTAATAGTCTCTATGCCCTTAGTTTGACCCAAACACCTGGATTCCTAATTTTTAATAATCTTTGCCCTTGACCTTACTGGACCCACACACCTGGGATTTCCAGTTCTTTTAATAATCTATGCCTTTAGCTGACCCAAACATCTGGATTCCAAGTTCTTTTAATAGTCCATGTCTTTAGCTGACCCGAACATCTGGATTCCCGATTCTTTTAATAGTCTGTGCCTTTCACTGACTCAAACATCTGGATTCCCAGGTCTTTTAATAATCTATGCCCTTACCTGCTCCAAACATCAGCTTAAACATCCATCCATCATCAGAAACATGGAAAGAAGAAGGGTCTGTCTTTTAGACAAACTGAAAAAGGTATTACCTAGGTTAATATAATATAATCTATATCTATATCTATATTTTATATTATTATCAACATGCTCTGATGCTAAGGAGTTTTAATCCCCCTCCCCACCTGAAAAGAAATCTGTTCCAAATGCAAAACACAAACAGAGGAATTTCAGTTTTACTTTCACAGCATCAAGCAGCTTTAGTACAGAACAGTTGAGCTAAGCCAGGCTCCTTGTTGTCTCCTTTTTGCTCGCACAGCAAATACTGTTTCAGTTTCCAAACAGCCCTCAACTCTCTCACACACTGACAGGACACTAGCCAGGTGAATACTGCTGGATGCTGGTAGGCAGAGGCAGAAATTTTTTCCCCTTATTTTCCTCCCCAAAAACTAAGCCCAACCACATAATTTCGTAGTGAAGTACGGGTATCGAGCTAGTATTTTATATAAAAAATGTATAAGAACCCTAGCAACCACTGCCTCAGGGAAGAAAAGAAATCAAGTGAAGTGATGCTAGAAGAAGGCCCCCCTTCTCCTTTATAAAAATAAACACAGCTGCCAGACAGCAACTCAATAATATCTGTTTGCAAATGGAATTAAACTCCATCAATAAAGACTGCAGGTTGGAGAGAAAAAGAATTAAGTTCCTAAGTAGCCTGTGAAGATGCAACCCACAGGCAACCAATGTGAGAACAATAGCCTGCCACACATACACCTTTTTCAAAAGAGGATTCCTCATCCAGCTCAAAATAACGTATAAGAAAAATGACAATAATTCTCAGTCCCAACCAAGTCAACCAGACAAAGAAGCATCTCAACATGAAGACAGATTGCTTTTATTGAAAATGTTTACAAAACATACGTCCCCACAAGGGAAAATGCGTAGAAAAAAAAAATGGAGATGTCAAAGCTGTTTTAATTAAAGAGAAGAACTTATCCAGGTTGTTTCTATCTGGAACCATTTCTGGACTTTATGCTCAAAATAGAAAAAAAAAAACAAATAAAACTTTGATCTTGGGTTTCGAAGACTAGATTAACATTGTTGTTACAGAAACAATTTACGTCTACTAGAATCACAAAGCATAAAAGTCGAGATGACAACTGCGTTTTGTATTGTATTGCACGAAAAAGAGCCGGAAGTCATTCCTTCTTTTTTTCTTTCTACCTGCCTTCCCTTTTCCTTTCTGAACTTAATTCAACCCTTTGTATTTTATATTACGATAAACTCTAATAAAAGCTTTTTTAAAAAGGGAGAGAGAACGGCTAGAGTAGCAGAATCTGGCAAATCCAATTCTGCTATGTCCTTTCCCCCTTTTATATCCATCCAAATGAAGGAGCTCTGTCTGAGTCTTTTATGTATCTTTTCTGCTTGTTTTGGACTTCAGCCATGTTTTCCTCTTGTCACTTTGGTAACAGATCCGGTGTACTTCTGGCAAAGTCATTTCCCTTGCTCTTTACAATAGTCTATCTGTTGTCTGTAATTTGTTTTTTGGATTAACCAAGCTTTTTCTCTCGGGATTTGACTGGATGGAATCAACGGCTGAGAAACATGTATGAAAATGCAAACCCCTCTCTCTCTCTGTGTGTGTGTGTGTGTGTGTGTGTGTGTGTGTGTGTTGTTGTTGTTGTTGTTGTTGTTGTTAGTTGCGAAGTCATGTCCAACCCATTGCGACCCCATGGACAACATTCCTCCAGGCCTTCCTGTCCTCTACCATCCCCCGGAGTCCATTTAAGCCCATGCCTAATGCATCAGTGTCTCCATCCAGCCACCTCATTCTCTGCGGTCCCCTTCTTCTTTTTTTGTCCTCAAATGTTCCCAGCATTCAGCTCTTCTCCAGTGAGTCCTTCCTTCTCCTTAGGTGGCCAAAGTCTTTGAGTTTCCTCTTCAGGATCTGGCCTTCTAAAGAGCAGCCAGGGTTGATCTCCTCTAGGATTGACCGGTTGGATGGCCTTGCAGTCCAAGGGACTCGCAGGAGTCTCCTCCAGCACCAGAGTTCAAAGGCCTCAATTCTTTGGCGCTCAGCCTTCCTTATGGTCCCACTTTTACAGCCATACATTGCAACTGGGAAAACCAGAGCCTTGTTGTTGTTGTTGTTGTTGTTGTTGTTGTTGCTTTTCAAAATTACAAGCAGATGGATGGGAATGTGACAAAATAAGTGAACATGGGAAGCAACTGAAATGGATCATTCCATTCTGATCTTACCAATTCCATCTAAGGCTTAGGTTTTATCTAGGGCTACCAGAACACATCAAGATTATGTTGTCCAGCAACTGGTAAACTGCAGTTCTCATTCATCTCCCAAACCTGATATGCAGAAGATCACTTCTCAAATGGACCGATAAAGGGGAGCTGGTGGTTTTCAAAATTGCAAGCCGGTACAATTTTCCAGAAAAATGAAGCTTACATCCCTGTTTTTCTTCCTTTCCATTGGAAGACCCTAAAAAAATGGCACTGCTGATTTTGGCACTAGAATAAATTGTATAAAGAGGCTTTACATGAAAGTCATGTTGATGGAGTTCTTGTGGGATAACTAACATCTTTCTTCTTAATAAATGCTACTAATCACAACATTATGATTTATGAGGAATGTATTTTTATGATTATGATTTATCACTTACAGCTTTATGTACAATGAGAGCTTATGCACCCAAGACAAATTCCTTGTGTGTCTATTTAGCCAATAAAGAATTCTTTTTTACTCTACTCCACTCTACTCTACTCCTGTTCTGTTCTGTTCTAATCACACCCTTTGAGTTTATTCTAGAGCCACAAGAAGAAAGTCTGTCTTGGCTAGGGCTGAAGGGAATTGAAGACCGTACATCCATCTGATAGTGAATGAGAACCACAACTGAACATTAATTCTCACCATCACAATTAGTGATAACATTACAGCCCATTAGCCTGCCCTTCTACTGTTAGAAACCACTCCTGGACATCAAAAACATTAAGTCAAGTGCTGTGAGCCTCTGATTAATAAATCTTTCCTGGTTTTCTTTTGAAATATCTATGATTGTAGAATATACAGAAGCTGGAAGCAAAGTGGACCACTGAATCTTAAGGTGACCTGACGATTTAAAGCATCTAATGAAGTGTACATTGGATGTAAGCTACAGCTCACAAAAAAAAAAAAACCTATTGCTTTTAATAAACTTTCTTAGCTGAAAAAGTGCTACCAGACTCCAGTTTTTGGAATACCATAGGCCTATTTGGCTTTTCTCCTATGATGAAATCTTTACACTTGGCAAAAATCAAGCCAGGAGTTTCCTAAGAAGGATGCCAGAAAGAATTGTGATGAAGAACCCAAACCATCTGGGAATGGTATTAATGCCCCCAGAGAACTCTTCAATTATAATCGAGTCATTCCATTGGCCAATGGTTGTGAACTCCTGTTGGTAGGTTGAAGAATTTGGTGTGCATCGCATAGTGTGATCTCCACTGTTCTCAGGAGCTATGGCTTCATATCCAACCAAGCTATCACAGAGAGCTTTGTTTGCACATCCCTTCAAGATGACCTCCAGAGGAAGTATATCTGTGGAGGAAATGAAAGAAATGAGTGCCAAGATTGGGTCTATTACAGTAACACAGTACAACAGGGGTTTCAAACTTGATTTCATTGAGAGCCACATCAGGGTTGTTGTGTTTGACTTTGGGGGGCCAGGGTAGGCGTGGGCAGGGTGGGCCTGGCCAGCTTGACACCACTCATATCTGTAAAGGACCTTGGAATACTCACCTCTAATGATCTAAGTGCTAGAGCCCGCTGCAACTACATAGCCAAAAAGGCATTAAGAGTTGTTAACCTAATCCTACGTAGCTTTTTCTCTGGTAATATCACACTACTAACCAGAGCATACAAAACATTTGCTAGACCAATACTCGAATACAGTTCATCAGTCTGGAACCCTCATTACGTATCTGATATTAGCACAATTGAGAAAGTCCAGAAATATTTCACAAGGAGAGTTCTCCACTCTTCTACTCGTTGTACAATACCTTATGCCACCAGACTTGAAATTCTAGAACTAGAAAACCTTGAATTACGCCGTCTTCGGTCTGATTTAAGCATGGTATATAAAATCATACATTGCAATGTCCTACCTGTCAATGAATACTTCAGCTTCAACCATAACAACACAAGAGCACACAATAGATACAAACTCAAGGTTAACCGCACCAAACTTGATTGCAGGAAATACGACTTCAGCAACAGAGAGGTCAATGTCTGGAATACTCTACCTGACTCTGTGGTTTCTTCCCCAAACCCCAAAAACTTTAACCTTAGACTGTCTACTATTGACCTCACCCCTTTCCTAAGAGGCCTGTAGGGGGCGTGCATAAGCGCACCAACGTGCCTACCGTCCCTGTCCTATTGTTTCTCTTATTCTTTTATTTTTCTTATATGTACCCATTTCATGTATTCACAACTATGTATACGCTTATACTTATTATCTTGTAAACAATTGGCAAATCAAATAAATAAATAAAAATAAATAAATAAATATCAGGGGTGCCTGTGGTGGGCTGAGCTCTCTGCCAGAAAAAAATGGGCTCCCAATCTCCGTTTTCAGCTGGGACAGCCTCCTGCAACCTTCTGCCGGTGAAAACAGAACTCGCAAGCTCCGTCTTGACTGGCAGAGGGCTGCAGGAGGCTGTCCCAGCTGAAAACGGAGATTGGGAGCCCATTTTCACTGGCAGAGGCACCATGGGCCAATGGGCTGTTTCCAAGGGCAATCCCACAGGCCAGATCTAAGCACCCTGCAGGCCAAATCTGGCCCGCGGGCCTTGAGTTGGACACCCCTACAGTGTAACAAAATTGGAAGACACTTTGGAAGTCTTCTACTCCAACTCCCTGCTCTAGCAGGAAACCCTAGACCTGTGATGGCCAACCTATGGCACGGGTGCCGGAAGTGGCATGCAGAGCCAGCAAGCGAGAGGTCATCCAAAAGAGCCCCACTGTGCATGTGCATGCATGCTGCCACCCAACCACTGACTATCGGGTATCTGGTGTACATGCACGGGGGCGGGGTGGGTGGGAGATGCACACACATGCACAGAGATGCATGGTGCATGGGGGGATCATGTGTGCATGCGCAGAGATGCGTGGCATGGGGGGGTCATGCGTGCATGCACAGGAGGCTTGAGGGGGGGGCAGCATGCGTTGCCTTTCGGGAGGCGAAAAAGGTTAGCCATCACTGACCTATACCATTCTGTCCATCCTCTCTTCAAAACCTCCTGTGATGGAGCACCCATAACTTCTAAAGGCAAGTCCTTCCAGTGATTAATTGTTCTCACTGTCAAGAAGTTTCTCCTTTTAGTAAGAACAATTCATCAGTGGAACGGGTTGAACTATAGCCCATTCCTCTTTCCCCAATACTTTTCATGGAAGAGCTGGCCAACCTGAGATGCTCCTGGTAGGTTGGACTGCAACGCCCATCATCCCCCACCTTTATCCTTTCAGGTTGAAAAAAATATGGCAGTTATGGTGTGAAATACTAGGAAGGTATTTTATTTTTGTCTGCCATTATCACAATGAAACAGACATCATGAAATTAGATTCAGACAAGTAAGATAAAAATCTAGAAAGAATTATACTGGATGTTCTCAAGAAGGTTGAAGGAGGATGTGGGGATAATGTGGTCAAAAATCCAGGGAGGGAGGGAAGAATTTCATTATTACTCCTACAGTTTGGGGAAAATATAGCTTACAGCATGCCACTCAGTGGTGGGATTCAAAAAAATTTACTACTGGTTCTATGGGCATGGCTTGGTGGGCATGGCAGGGGAAGATTGCTGCAAAATCCCATTCACTCCCACCCCATTAACCTGCTTCCCAGCTCCGTTCTCCTGTGCAGGGCAACCAAAGAAGACCCAGACGATCAACTGGGACTCGGGAGGCAGAGAATAGATGGGGTTGGCGGGGCCAGTCAGAGGAGATATTTGACGGTTCTCCGAACCACTCAAAATTTCCACTACCAGTTCTCCAGAACTGGTCAGAACCTGCTGAATATCACCTCTGGTGCCACTGTTGTGCAATCCACACAAACAAAATTGACTTGAAAAATCCAAAGAAAACTACACAACCAACCAACCATGGCTTGGCCAATTGTGTGAATGCAACCTGGCGGCTTCTAAGACAGACTTCCTCATGGAGACTTCCATTGGAAATCTTCAGCTAGAGCTCTGACCCTTTTGATTTGATGGAAATTGTCATCCATAATCAGGCTAATGTAATCTGAGGAAGGTTGAGCTAAGTAGATAATTACCCATTCCTGAATCCAGAAGTCCTTCGGCACAGTACAGCTCATCTCCAGTGCAATCAGTAACTTCTTCGTGACATGTTCTTCCCAACGCAAAGCATGCTGGGCACTGCTTCCCATTGACTGGGGCCTTCTTGGGCAATTCTATAGAAAAGATAGAACCATTAGATCAGTGGTGGGATTCAGTTTTTTTTTTTACTACCGCTTCTATGGGCGTGGCTTGATGGGCATGGCTGGGGAAGGACACTGTAAAATCCCCATTCCCTCCCCACCCCACTAACCTGCTTTCCAGCTCCGTGCTCCTGTGCAGGGCAACCAAAGAAGAGTCAGCCAATCAGCTGGGACTCTGGAGGCGGAGAATAGATGGGGGCAGGGCCAATCAGAGGTGGTATTTGCCAGTTCTCTGAACTACTCAAAATTTCTGCTACCGGTTCTCCAGAACTGGTCAGAACCTGCTGAATACCACCTCTGCACCAGACATGGGATGAGAAACAAATATATTCCCAATGAAAAGGGCTTTAGAGCACGGGCCTCCAACTTTGGCTAACTTGATGACTTGTGGATTTCAATTCTTAGGATGCCATGCTGACTGAGGAATCCTGGGATTTGAAGTCCACAAGTCATAAAATTTCCAAGATTGGAGACACTTGCTTAGGGATCAGGGATTCGTTGTCTTCACCAGGATTTTTTTACATGGCTGACCAACCCGCAGCTGTAATTTTATGCTGCATTTTTTGATAAGACTAACCTCTTCATCTAACAGATGTGCTTCCTTTGATGTGCAACCCGAGGACACAGCAATCAGCGGGAAACCACTTGTGCGTGGAAAGAAGGAGACACTAACAAATGTTTGATTGCTTTGCCAAATGTGCAATCATCACTGAACGTAATGCTTTTATTAAATATTAATAATACTTATTAAGAATATTCATGACAAGGTACTGATAGTCCTTGACTTACAGCAATTTGCTTAGTGATCTTTCAAAGTTACGACAGCACAATCTGGGTCCTCATTTTACCAACCTCAGAAGGATGGGAATCTGAGTCAGGATGTTTTCAGGGTATTTTTGGGCTATTTTCAGGGTGTTTTTCAAGCCATTTTCAGCTATTTTTCAGACTGTTTTCAGGGCATTTTTCAGGGCATTTTCAGGGCATTTTGGGGCTATTTTCAGGCTGTTATTTGGGCCATTTTCAGGTCAAAAACACCCTGAAAACAGCCCCCAAAACAGGCCAAAAATGGGCGGAAGTGGGGCCAGCCAGTGGTGGGATTTGCCAGTACGCCAAACTGCACCTAATCTTAACTACCGGTTCAGTAGAACTGGTGCAAACCGGCAGTAGCCTACATCTGATAGAAGACCTCCAAGGTCCCTTTCCAACTCTGTTATTCTGGAATGCAAGGTGTTTGCCTCTCACTTAAGATTTCCACCAACTTTCCTACCTAGTCATGATGCGAATTGCAGTTCCCAACACATCTGAAGTGGAGGACAAGACAGGGAAACCCGAGCGAGAAGAACCTAACACAGACATACCTGGAGGGACTGCATTTCTACATTCATCTCCTTCGCAGCATTTCAGGTGGGCCACCGCTTTTCCTTTCTGGCCCATATTAATTACTTGAACACCTTTGTCACAGACGTCAGACGAGACACAGGTTTTTATATTCACGGATAGTCCTGTGGGAAATGAAGTGAGGGAAACTGCTTTACCCCCAGAAGAAACCATGATGGTCGTTGCAGAGTCAGTAGGAAGCATGTTTGAGAACGAAGCAACAATTGGTATTTTTCCCCCATTTTCAAAAGCCAACCAAACTGTTGGATGAATCCAGTTGGGTTTCCTCCAGTGAGGAGTACTTAGTCCTTCCACCAAAGATTTCTCCCTTCAGAATTCAATCCAAAATGAGTAAGTAGAGGAGCTCTTGGAAAAAGGGGATCTTAGCCATAAAAAAACTCTAAATAGTACGTATTTTTAATTGAAGTGATGTGAGTTACAGTCAAGAGCAATAGCACTTAGACTTATATACCACCTTATAGTGCTTTACAGCCCCTCTAAGAGCAGTTTACAGAGTCAGTATATTGCCCCCAACAATCTGGGTCCTCATTTTACCCACCTCGGAAGGATGGAAGGCTTGAGCCTGGTGAGATTCGAACTGCCAAATTGCAGTAGGAGTAGCTTGCAGTCCTGCACTCTAACCACTGTGCCACCAAGGCTCCAAGATAAAGGAAAACATTGTTCTGTTCTAGTGGTGGGATTCAAATATTTTTTTACTACCAGTTCTGTGGGCGTGGCTTGGTGGGCATGGCAGGGGAAGGATACTGTAAAATCTCCAGCCAGAGGTGGTATTTGCTGGTTCTCCGAACTACTCAAAATTTCTGCTACCGGTTCTCCAGAACTGGTCAGAACCTGCTGAATACCACCTCTGGTTGTGGCCTTGCCTATTTCTTGGAAGCCTCATTCGTGAGATCTACTACAGATGGTCTAGGGATTAAGGCACAATGCTAAAAACTGAGAGACGGGGAGTTCTAATCCAGTTTAGCCATGAAAGCCAGCTGGTGACTTCAGGCCATTCACCAAGAGATGGTGAGTTCTAGTCCCATTTTAGGCATGAGAGCCAACTGAGTGACTGGCCCAATCACTTTCTCCCAGCCCAAAGTGTGGTCTCTGTGAGGGAATGCAAGCCAGAAGAAGCATTGGGTATTTTTGCTGCTCTGAGTTGTTTATAAAGTAATAAAGGCAGAATAAGAATTAAATTAAGTAAACCTCCTTGGGGCCTGTAGAAGATGCAGCTTCTTGCACTTACCGATTGGGAGGACCATATCAGTAACACTGCATCTGTCTTTCCCAATATCACATGTCACCATATTCCCAGAACAATCTCCTAGGCCAAGGCATTTTTCACATTCCAGAGATAATCCTGCAGCATCAATCACAAAAAAAAGGACAACAAATTGGCTCCTTTCTTATTTTCTCTGGCCTGTTTGAGACCAAGGTCACAGCAAGATTTCACCAATGATCAACTGAGATGGCAAGGAGGGGGGAAAAACTCTACTTGACAGATCCCCTGGAAGGGTTTGGAAGCTTTTTCCTCAACCGTGGCACCTTCCAAATGTACAGCTTCTAGATTCCTTAACTGTAGGCTAGCTCTATGAAGCTAGTTTAAGGAAATGGTGCACTAATTATATACCGCCCCATTGTGCTTTATAGCACTTTCTGGGCTGTTTACAATGTCAGGGTATTGCCCCCAACAATCTGGGTCCTCATTTTACTGACCTCAGAAGGATGGAAGGCTGAGTCAACTTTTAGCTGGTCAGGATCAAACTCCAGGCAGCGGGCAGAATTTGCCTGTATTCTAACCACTGTGCCCCTAGGCTTCCAGATACCCCAAAGGTACAATATTGCCTAGACTTCCAAATATTTTTCAGGATGCAAATAAAATAAATATGTGAAATTACATGTGGTGGTCCTGCAAGGAAACCCAGAAATATTGGCAAAAAATCAGAAAATGGTTGGAGGAGATAACCAAAGAACAAATCGAATACAAACCAGAGTTCTTCCTACTAGGGATCTCTGACAAACATTTACCCAAAAAGATGAAATATGTAACAATTCATATTTTAACTGCAGCCAGATTAGTGTTCGCTCAGTGTTGGAAATCATCTTATACACCTACAGAACAAATGGTTATCCAGAAAATATGTGATTGTGCAGAAATGGACAAATTAACTATAGCACTTAAAAATAAAGAGCCTTCAACATTTTACGATAATTGGAACTCTTGGTATAATTGGTTAATCCAGAGATAAACTGCTTAAAAGACAATGGGTAATTTAAGCATAGATATCGATAAGATGTGCGTATTCAAATTAAATTAGGAGAATTGGATCTTGCAGAATGTCAAAAAGGATATTGTCTGTTTTTAAAAGTATTCTTTTCATTTCTTTTTCTCTTTCTTTGCTTCTTCCTTTCTTTTAAATCTCTTCTTCTCTTCTCTTTCCGGTTCGTAAGGCCGAGTGTTTTTTTTTTTCTTTCTTTCTTTGTGTATGTAATGTTGATATGTTTTTAATTGTAAATTTAATAAAATTTATTTTAAAATAAATAAATAAATAAATAAATAAATATGTGAAATTGAACTGTTACAGGTGGTTTATTGAGTATTATTATGGTTCATAGCACAGTCAGCCAGATGTTCAGACTGGATTTGCCATTGTTATCCACCTGTAAAGTCCTCCCCAATGATCTGGCATAGGCAAATGTTGTTGTTTGATGGTGTTAAAGGTATCCTCACAAGATGCCAGCTGTTCCAAGTAAAACTGCCTTTTACTATTGATCGATGGTGATTTTATCAATGCAAGAGGTATTCAAGAGGTGCTCCAGATGTTTTTGGATTGGACCCAAGAGATCTATTACCATTGGTATTGCGTAATATTATCCTGGTTCATCACATATCAGCCAAATATTCATACTAGATATGGCATTGTTTGTATCATCATCATCATCATCATTATTATCATTTGCTGCCCATCTTGTGGTTCGAGATGACTTTGAACAACTTAGATAAAACAGCCAAATATCCAAATTATAAATATAAAAAGAAATTAAAATTACAAAAAAAAGTTAAACCAAAAAGCATGGGTTTGAAGCAGTGGTAAGAACATTGGAATAGAAAAAGAAGGGAAAAAATTATTCTTGCATTTTTTGGCTAGCTCCAAAGTTCCTCCCTCCCTCCACATGTATGTACCTACATGTGTGTATACGCATGTACTATCTACATGTATATATGTGTGGTGTGTGTGTGAGAGAGAGAGAGAGAGAGACAGAGAGAGAGAGAGAGAGAGAATATTGCCAACCTCTATAGTAGATGGCTTAGATTTTTTTAACTCCAGTTAATTTCAGCCAAGTATTTTTTGCTAAATTTTGATCGTTCAAATTTTCAATGCTTGCATCCCAAAAAATCAGAAGAGGGAAAGATTTTAATATTTTTTTAACTTTAAGATTTGATGTTCAGATTTTAATTTTTAACATCAGTTCTTTGCATCTGGAGATTGCAATCCATTTACCAATGTGGGATTACAAAAGCAACAGAACTAGATCACCCGATTTATATTTCAAAGCAGTTTGCAGCAATATTCCGATCCTGTGGTAGATGGTACTACCATCTACTGATCGTGCACAGAATCTCACAGGGGTCTGCTTTGGAGAATCCTGCTACTTGAAATCTTCATGCCTTAAAAGTTGCGAAGCTTGAAAAACACTGGCCTAGAGAGCTCATCAGTTCCCAAAAGACTTCCCTTTCAGTATGCCAAATCGAGTTATTTCATTCTTTGAAAGTCTACAATCCCAATTTGTCCGTGTCACAAATTCTCTTGGAAAAATATGCTACGAATTTGCAAAAGCAGTGAAGGCAAAGAAGCCATTCACTTCAAATATTTGTCACTCTTGCCTACTTACCTTCAATAATAAATAGGGTGAGAAGGAAGAGGGTCGGTGAAGTCTTCATGACAGCTGACTGGTGCTTTGTTCAAAGCAGACCTGGAAATCCTGAATATAGGAAATTCTCTTACGTTGCCAGAAGCCGAGGAAGCATTTTTAACAGCAGCCCAAAACCACCACTTCCTGAAAAAGGAGGCGGGTTTAAGAAATAAAAGTGGTTTTCTGGAAGGGGAAAAAAAAGAGTGAGAACAGCAGGAATCCTTTACAGGAAACTACTAAACCTATTTGTTTCCTGTTTTGCTGTCCAAAAGTAAAAGTTAAAACAAACTTGTGGATGAAGCTAAATAAAATATGAAATGCTTAATACCCGGCCAAAGCCATCGTTAGATATTTTGCTCGATGCCAATTAAAAGTGGCACAGCCATATTCTTTCTCTTGCCCTAAAATCAAAGGCAAGGATTTGAGGTTCCTTGAACACTAACAAAGTCTCTTAAGCGGAGGTTTTCAAGGATCTGAAAATACATCGGAAGAGTTGTGGCCATGTGTTGTGGCCCTCAGCAGCCAGCAGAGCTGGCAGCAGACTCGGATAGTGAGGAGGTTGGAGAGGAACCTGGGCCAGTCCTGGAGTCTGGGGAAGGCTCTGACGCGGGCTCTGCGTCTGAGGCAGAGATGGGCTCAGGGCTGCCTGACAGTTATCGGCTGCCTTCAAAGTCGGAGATCAGTGGGGCAGAAGAACAGCTGGAGCCTGTGTACATGCACAGAGCTGCCAGGAGAAGGGAACAGTTAAGGAACAAGGGTCGACTTGGGAGTAAAGGCTCAGGTGGATGGTGAATGTCCCCTCCCATAGGGAATAAAGAGGAGCGAAAGGAGAGTGGGGTTTGCAGGAGACAATTAGTTCATTTCATTAGGGTGAAGATCTGTTCCTGACTTCTTGCTAGATAATTGCTGCTACAGCGTGGTGTTTGGAAGGTATCGGCCTGGCAATTCTCCAAGCCTGATAAAGGTCTGTAATTGTGAAATCTCATGAAAGACTGTTTGCCGGGACTTTGCTGGAGAGGAATTCCCTTGAACCTAAATAAAAGGGGTTTTATGAGGACAAGGAGCCTGCTCCATAATCTTGGGAAGCCTAGCTCAGAACACCATGATTGTGTGTGTGGTACAGATAGTCCTCGAGAGTCCCATCCCTGAAGAAGTGACTGATGACCATTTTTCACACTTACGACCATCGGGGCATCCTCATGGTCGTGTGACCAAAATATGGATGTTTTGAAACGTGTCCTGGTGTCGTGTGGTCCCCTTTTGCGACCTTCTGTCCAGCAAAGTCAAGGGGAAGCCGGATTCACTTAACAACCAGGTTATTAGCTTAACAACTTCAATCATTCACTTAACAACTGTGACAGGAAAAGTTGGGGAGACCCTTCTGACACGCACATGTCCGATGACGTAGCCCACAATTTCATTTACCTCACAAGATGTTTTGTCTTATCAAGGCCCTGATCATAGAAGGAGGTATGTATATATGCATGTATTTAGGAAGATAGATAGATAGATAGATAGATAGATAGATAGATAGATAGATAGA